TGGTAGGTATAATTTTATTAACAGCAGAAGAATATTAAGCTATTGGTGTAACAGTTTGTTCCAATATATTTTTCATGTATCATGGTGATGTTTCCATTGGACATCTTATTTGCCCTGATACTTGGCTTGCAGCAATTTTTTTCATAGCACAAAGCACAGCATTTTCTGTCAATAGTTATTTGAATCAAAATAGTTCCATGTAATAAAACATTAAATGGGTCTTTAATTTGTTGCAGTACCAACAATTTTTTTAATGCTAATGTAAGCTCTTAGGTGCTGGGAGTTCAAATTTTTTTCATCTTTGTATATAACTTGAAACTGCTGGTTGACCTAAATCCCATTTCAAGATATCTATGTTTTGTATTGCCATTGTATCTAATACTAATAAGTTGTGTGACTCTTTCCAGGCTCTCCTTCAGCAGACGTTATCTATCCCATGTTCAGTACACCCTCTGTTAACAGAACCAGGTATGTGTCTTACTCTCTCACTCTCCAAAAACAAGAGAGGTGTGTGAGCAAAACCTTTTAGAAATTAGATTTAAAAAAAATGAGACCATTAATTCCAAAAATACAGTTTCTCTTTACCAGTGAGATGTGAGGGTTTGAGAAATGGTCATCATTAAGATATGAAAGTGTAGGGCCTTTATTTTTTAGCGGAAACGTGAAACCTTCTTTGGACTGAGATGTGGATTCAATTCCTGACTCTACTACACTTGTTTGATGTTGGGCAAATTATTTTTGTCTGCCTTATTTTCCCTATTTATAAAGTGAGAATAATGTTTTATCTTTTGTCTATCTTGTCATTTTAGTTTATAAACTCTTCTGAGCAGAGGTTGTCTCCTACGAGAATCTATGTAGCCTAGCGCAGTGGAGCTTTGATCTCAGTTGGGTGTTGTGTATGCTGTTATCTGTATCCAATAGAGCATGTCTTTCAAAGATCATTTTGGCACTGGCCTTTAGCATTGGCTTTCATTATATTGCATAACTTTATAGGATAGATCTGTGTGTTAACATGTAATTATCTGTACTAATATTAACACCTTCTGCCTTGTAAATTAATACAGCACTGTAAATTCTTTCTTGTAGAATATGCTCATGTGTCTGTGCCATATTGACAAATCCATTGCCATATGTTTACAGTGGAAATGTTCTGTTTTCCCAGGCAGAATCAAAACCACTAATCCCTCTGTCTTATTTAATTATCTTCCTTTGGAGCAGATTGCTGGTACTCAAAACACTGATTGAATTTGTTGTGAACATAGTATCACTTTAACATTATTTTAGTTCTGAATGAGCCAAAAAAAATATGCTAGAAATGTATAATTCTCTACCATTTAAGAGTGTGAGAGATCTGATTACATATTTACATTGTTCCCTTGTGGGGCTTTTCAAATACCTTTCATATTGATGCAAATGGAATTCTGGAATATGCCAGAATTCTGGTGTTTGTGATTAACTGAAAAATGGTCTTGGATTTGCTATTACCTCCTACATTCTCTCTTGGGGAATAGAGGAACAGACCCCCTTTTTTTTTTTTTTTTTTTTTAAATATAATTGGAACTACACTCTAGCTTTCTGCTTTGGGGACCACTCCTTAGCATCTAAATCTAGAAAACGGTTCAGTGTTTCTTTCTTAATCTCAAATTAAGATTATTGCACAACAGTTAGCAAATTTAAAGTAATAGTTCCTAAAGTAATCTTGCCAACTTGCATATAGCTAAAGCACTAAAAATATAATACCTAATTATTAACAATTTTAATATGTGCTTCTCCAAAGCACAAGTTGCCTATAATTTTTTTGTAAAAGTAATATAAAGACTCCATCTGGATCAACAGCCTCATGAACAATCCTTCACTGCATTTCCCTCAATCTAACCACTCCCTCTTAGCCTTAATATTTCTTTCAAAAGTCAGTAAACCGTCCATTGGCTCAGAATGAAGAACTGAGTTCCAGAATTGAGGGCCTTTTCCTTAAAATGTCTCCAGTTCTCTTGTCTAAATCTGGTAGCTATTACTTCAGAATATCAGATAATCTTCACTGCTGGAGCAGAACTCATGTGGAGAGGTGGCCTGAGGTTCTGTAGGACAGTGTTCTAAACCAGTGGTATGAGTACCCTTGGGGTACTCGAGAGAAGTCTGGGATGGGGGGGGTACATGAACACAACTGAAATTTAGAGAAAACTGAGTTTTTGTTGTAAGTTCTACAGCATTTTTATACCCAAAAATTTCATCACCCGCCTGGCTACAATTAAGACGTTTAAACAAATGTCTTGCAACAGTAGAAAAAAATTGAGTGTCTGAAAACTGTAGGTACTGGGGGTACTTATAATTTTTTTAAATAGGGTACTTTATAAAAAAAAATGCTGAGAAACACTGCTCTAGGGCATATGAAGGATAGGCTTGAGAGACTAACTTCAGATGCCCTAACATAATTATAACTTTTAGTCCCTACTTTTTGCATGACTCAAATCCCAGCCTCTTACTTTTCCATAATTTGTGTCTCTTTTCTTAGATGGGAATGAGAGAGGTAGTGGTGTTCCTGTGTTTGAGTGTATGCAGTAGCAGGGGCTTCCACATACTATCTCTTTTCCTCTGCACTGGAACACTTGGGCTAGGTTTATACTGCAGCGTTTTTGTGCAAAAACCACTGGTTTTGCACAAAAACCCACGGAGCACCCACACTATAAGCGTGTTTGTGTGCAAGTAAATTTACAGTAGATGAGAAGGAGAGGGCTTTTTGTGCAAGAGTTATTCCTCTTTCCATGAGGAATACGCCTTTTTGTGCAAGAGTGCTTGTGCAAAAAGGTGAGTGGATGGGCAATGGGGTTTTTGCGCAAAAAGTGCCAATTGAGAAAAGCACAGGCGCTCTGGTGGCTATACTGTGAATAGCCATCAGAGCTTTCTTGTGCGAGAGCATCCATGCAGTGTGGATGCGCTTTTGTGCAAGACATTTTTGTGGAAGATCTCTTCCACAAAAAACTTCTTGTGCAAGAAGCCTGCAGTGTAGATGTAGCCTTAGATCAATATCAGTCTTACATTCACTGAGAATGATGGTGCTAACAAGGAGTAGGAATCCTGGCAGCTTAGCTCATATCTGCAGTTATGGCGTGTGCTTGAGATCATGTGAGATGTAGGCTTTTTTCCTTCCTTAACAGTTTTAGTCACAGGTTTAGGGTAACAGTCTAGATTGGGGTGGGCCCCTTCAAAAATTTCTGAATGGTGGTGGGCTGCCCTGAAAGGGGTGGGGTCTCGGTAGAAGGGGTGGAGCCTTGGGCAGAAGGGTCTTTAAATAGCAAGAATTGAAAGGGCTCATACCTCCCGGGTGGTTCCCAGTTGTCATATTAATGAGGGATGGGAGCTGAGTGTCCTTTCAATTCCTGCTATGTGAAGGGCTCACTGCTCCCGGCCTCACTGCTTGCGCATTGCCAGGGAGCTGCAACTTGAGAGCCCTTTTAACTGCTTCTATTTAAAGGGCTCGTGCCTTCCCCATGGCTACCAGGTAATGCGTTGCCCAACAGGTGTGGGGAAGGCTCAAGCCCTTTTCAATAGAAGCCGTTAAAAGGGCTTGTGTGTTTCCCACTCCCAGACAACGTGCTAGGAGACGGGGCCTGGAACTGCTGCGCGGGCTGGGTTTGGCCTGCTGAGAGGCTTTTGCTCATCCCTGGTCTAGCTACAGCGGTGTTTCTTAAAGCATTGACTTGTTTTTGGTGCAGCCCTTAATCTTGGTTGGTGGCATTCCAACACTGCCACTATGGCAGTTTCCTACTATCCATTTTAATTTGGGGTCTCTTGGTACAGGCTTTTCTTCCTGTTCCCCTCTTGAGGTCCTTTACTAGTCTGTTCTAGGGAGCTAGTCAGATCAGTGTTGCATCTGAATTAGTCATTTCACTCACATTCAGATTGAAGTGTGAAACTATTTCAGGGCACAGCCTTTCTTAGATGATCTGGCATCTCCCTTGGGATTCAGCCCACCTGCAAAAATGGTTCATACCTCCCGGAAAACCAGAAAGAAAACAAAAGAACTAAGCAAAGACTGCAAAGACCAGATGATCATTGTGAGTATCCCTCTGTGGGCTGTAACAGATCCTTAGGAGAACGTGTGGTGGTAGTGGCATGAGCTTTCAAGCTAGCCAGGACTAGATTCTCTTACACCTAAATCTCAAACACTGTATACGGTTAGATTTACACAATCCATTATATCCAAAACCTCAAATGTAAAGATTATGCCACTATTTCTCAGATTTTCTTGGGGTTGAAGCTTTATTGTATTTGTGAATAAATAGAAGACTTGTAGAATTTGTTATTAAAATACTTCTGTGGGTACTATAGAAGTGAATTTGCTTGCTACAGAAGTCCTTTATTTCCCACTGCTGCATAGTTTTCTGTATGAGCAGAGCCAGTGCGGTGCTGCAGTCACATTAGTCATTCTGTACCTGGGGGTTTATCTGACTGAAATGCAACCCCACTTACCCATTGGTGGGTTTTATATAACAGGTATGAGGGATGAAATACTCATGTTGTGCTGCATGTATAGTTCATTCTCTTTGAATGCCCGGCAGCGTTAATCCCTGTGTATCATTTACAGTAGGTTAGTCACTTGTATGGATGGAGCCCTGGCTTCACATGGGTATAGCTTCTTTTCTTGGGAAACAAGGCAAGGGAGGTAAACTTGATCAGCAGGCTGAGAAAAGAATGTATATACTGGCTAAGAGCAGGTCTACACAACAAGGACAGGCTGATCAAAGCTACGCAATTGGAGCTATGTTAGTATCGTAACACAAACTGACGTAGCTTTGCTCCACTTACTGCTGAGCTCCACACTGGGGGAAGGGTAAGGAGGAAGGGGATCGACAGAAAAAACTCTCCCGTGGATTCCCCTTAGTCTTCTGGAATACTGACTGGGGGTATGTCTACACTACAGCACTAATTCGAATTAGCTTAGTTCGAATTAACTAATTCGAACTAATTCGAATTAGCGCATCTAGACTTAAAAACTAGTTTGAATTAGTGTTTTGCTAATTCGAACTAGCATGTCCACACTGAGTGAACCCAGAACTGGGGTTAAGGATGGCCGGAAGCAGTGCCGGCAGGGCATCAGATAAGGACTTAGAGCGTGGAGCTGCTGTCTCAGGCTAGCCGAGGGCTGTGCTTAAAGGGACCCGACCCCCATCTCGGACAGACAGTTCTCAGGGGTTCCCTGCTTGCAAAGCAGTCCTGGCTTGGAGTGCCCGAGTGCCCACACTCGGCACATCACAGCACTCGGCCATTAGCCCGGCTGCACTTGCCGCAGGCTGCCATCCGGGGGGGAGGGTCAATCAAGGGGCTTCAGGAGAGCTTCCACCCCGAGGAGCCCGCAGAGCCAGCCCAGCCCTCCCCATCAGGGGCTCGTACCCCATTCCTCCCTCACCTCCTTCCACTTACCCATCCCTAGCCCCCCTTCCTGTTGTACAAAATAAAGGACAAGTGTGTTCAAAACCAGAAACTCTCTTTATTGAACAAAACTCGGGGAGACTGGGAAAAGGAGGGGGAGAGGGGAAGAGAGAGGATGGAAGAGGGGAGGGCAACTAAAATGATCAGGGGTTTGGAACAGGTCCCATATGAAGAGAGGCTAAAGAGACTGGGACTTTTCAGCTTAGAAAAGAGGAGACTGAGGGGGGATATGATAGAGGTCTATAAAAGCATGAGTGGTGTGGAGAGGGTGCATAAAGAAAAGTTCTTCATTAGTTCCCATAAAAGAAGGACTAGAGGATACCAAATGAAACGAATGGGTAGCAGCCTTCAAACTAATAACAGAAAGTTCTTCTTCACAAAGCAAAGAGTCAACCTGTAGAACTCCTTGCTGCAGGAATCTGTGAAGGCTAGAACTATAGCAGAGTTTAAAGGGAAGTGAGATCAAGTGAGGGAGGTTGGGTCCATGGAGTGCTATTAGCCAGCGGGTAGAAATGGTGTCCCTGGCCTCTGTTTGTGGAAGGCTGGAGATGGATGGCACGAGACAAATGGCTTGGTCATTGTCTTC